TCAGCCTGAGATGAGCCGGCCGTGCCAACACCACAAACCTGAGCTGTGAGGAATGGGGCAGCGCGCGAGGCGCCCGTTCAGCAGCCCGAGAGAAAACACTGCTGCTGCTGTGGCTTCGTGGTGACGGTGGCGGTACCTGAGGTACTTCTGCTGCCACTGCAGGGCTTGGGCATTTGCTGGTTTGGCCTTCAGAGCTACCCGGGCTGCTGGAGGAGATACCACCAGCCTCCAGTTCCACTTTCCCCCAGCTTAGCCTCTGCCTTTTGTTTCCTACACAGCAGGACTGGGAGTTGCTGCTTGCGGTTGCAGCAGCTCCTAGAGGTGAGCAGTGCAAAGGAAAGGGATCAACCCCTCCTTGTGCTGCCAAGGGAGGGGAATTCTCCAAGCAGGATGAAGCATCACTCCTATCACCTGCTCCCTGCTGCTCTCTGGCTGACCAGAAGCAAGAGCAGCGTCTCCTGAGAGCCACGTCCCTGTCCTGCGGCCTGGTAGCGGATAGGGATGACGGCAGCGGGATGAAGGCAGCGGGAGCTGTCGTGGCCGAGCGGAGCCATTTCCTGTTGGAGAAGTGGTGCCAGGCACCAGCCAGCCCCGCTCTGGCAAGTGCTCCCACGGAAGATGTGCTGGGGGTGACCGCAGGCAGCGACCCGTGCCTTCTTGTAAAGCTGCCTGGTGAAGTTTGAGGATTTATTTGCTGTCATAGTGGGGGGAAAAAAGATAATCCCACCTGCCAGCAAGTGAAGTATATCAAAAAAGCTAATTCTCTGCTGCAAAGCCCACCTTGTCCAGCTTGCATCTATGCTCCTTTTTCCTGCAGCCTGATGGAAAAAGCTTTGATCGACCTTGAAGGGCCTCTGTGAGGGCACCCATGGGCCCAGCCTTCCCAGCAGGGTTGACTTAGTCATAGGAAAAAACAGCCTTCTAGCTTTAATCCTCCAAAGGTCACTTCCTTAGAATGCTGCCAGGGTGATGGCTCTGTGCTGAGCATCTTGCTGGGGTCTTGCAGCTGCTGGCATGGGACAACCTCCGTGTGCCCTCTGAAACCCAGTCTGCAGCT